TCTGCAGGCATGCCTCATTGATTGGAGGAAAACGGGGTACATGTCATTAATTAAATCTGCTGTTCTATGTAGTCCCTCCATCAATCTTTTCTCAGGAACTGTATGCTTTTTCTGAGGCCATACTTATGGATTTGATGTTTAAAATTACAAAAGGTTTTTTCAGTGAAAGTCTTGTTCATTTCACATGTTCTGTGCTTTGATTAAGTAAAAAAAAAGAGGGTATGTGTACAATGTTGAAGTTGTTTTATATTTTCCAGTTACAGCCAGCTGATATTATCATTAATGAACGAAAAGTGTCGTTGTCTTCTAGTTACTTGTTTGTACGATCCAAGCAAACATAAAGGTAGGATATTAAAGTCACAAAACCTCAGCTAGATATATTGAAAAAATAACATTGAATCACATAACTTGTTACCTCATCAGAAGGTGATCTTTCATAATGGGAAATAATGGGTCCTGCAAAGGATTACAGGGCAACAAGAGTTCAGCCAATCATATCAGTGTTGATCTGGGATTCCAGAACATACTTAGTGCTTTCAGTTGTTTTAGTGTGTTTTGTAATCATCATCATCATTATCCCTCAAGTTAATTCTGACTTATGGCAACCCTTTTCAGTGTTTTCCAGGTAAAGACTACTCAGAAGTGGTTTACCTTCCCTTCTTTTGGGGGAACCCTGGGGCTGTAAAGCTAACCAAAGGCACACAGGCTGGCTCTACTTGCAGGAGGCACAGTGTGTGTGTTTGTGCAAACATACTTGCTCACACACACATTTTCTATAGGAAATGTATGGGGGAAATTTAGTTTAAGTACAATCTGCTGCAAAAAGCAAGGTTAAAGGAGATTAGATCACCAGTAAATGACAGTGCAGAAGAATGCAGGATCCAAATATTCATGGATCTACACATTAAGCTCATTGCAAAAAGGGGGATTTTGCTATTCAGTGGTGGAAATTATCATATAAATCCATCTTATCTCCTAAGTGCCCCGTACAGGTCTTAACCAGGGGCTGTTGTTTACACACCAGGATCAAACCACTGTGCAAGGTTTTCCCACACATATTATTCCTTGGAAGTGTCTGGGTGCAACACAGCTTACACTGAAGAAGATACAAGTATGGAGAGGAATAGATAGAGAAATAGGGATTTGCTCAGATTTCCTAAACTATCCTTTAGCTGCTCTGACCTCTACTCACCTTCGTTTGATCTAGACTGGTATTTTTAGGAATTTTTTGTGTTGCTTCCTTTCCTTCTCACATTTCCTTCTTGACACACTCTGAGAGAGCACAGAGGAAACAGCCTGGCTTATTTCTCAGGAGGTGAGGAGGCAGATATGGTTCCCTGCATTTCTACCTCAGTTTCCTAGAACTAGGTGGTAACACTTGCTTTTGTATTGTTTTCAATTGAAATGTGTGATTGTTATTTCTTTGCAAAGAGGGAGGCACACATTGTTAGTCGTTGCAGTATCTAATGAATAAATTCAAAATTTAACTCTGCTGTTGCTTGCTCTGCCGACAATTTTAACTACATCCTCATAATTCCTATACAATTTACTCATCTGGTTTTGGAAATATAAGTGGACCATCACCAGGTGACATTAATATTAACAGGTTACATCTGTAAACTCACTTAGAAAACCCAGCAATATCATATTTTTTCAAAACAAGTGTAAAAATATGCCTGATTTGATTCCCCTCACCCTCTTGCTTATTAGATTATACCATTTATTTTCCAGGTCCACCTTTTTATGTTTCTGATTCAGAAGTGAAAAGTTTATTTGGTGAGTCAACTGTACAACTGCTTTGATTTCTATCAAAATCCACTTGACAGATCAAATGTGTACAATGATGTGGAAAAACATACAAACTCTACTGACAACACAGAGTGATGCTCTTTACAGATATTTGCTTTCTAAGCAGGGTCAAGAGGCATATGCAATCTGAAACTAGAAGCTAGAAACGTATCAAAATCTTCAAAAAAAATTTACTTCCCCTAAAAAAATATTACTTCCCTGAAAGATATACATGCTAATTGTTTTGTGCCAAGGAAAAGAAACACGACCCTGCACCTGTACCTAATAGATACTGTTTCCTTGTGGTTCAAGGTTATTGTCATTGCTGAGTTGTAGTAATTTAATCAAGATTCTTGTTCTCTACAAATGTTCCATAAATCTGACCTCCTTCAACTGTCTTCTCTCCAGTTGCTTTAGTCAATGGGCACACCCACCGGATGCCGTTCCTGTGGATAATGGCATGCTGATGCATGTAGTTTGCTCACTGTGCTTGTAAACTTCATACCATGAAGACATATGGGCCAGTTTTATTTTATCTTTGCTTGCAGCTTTCCATCTTTGATTTCTTTTGGGAGAGAAATGAAGCAGAGAGGAATGTACAAATGAGTTCACATGACACAGTGAACAAACCATAGATTTAAGCTGTGGTCAGTTTAACCAAAAAAAAAAACAACCCAAAAAAAGGAGATATGATGAAGAAATAGGCACCAGCCTGTTGTTCATCTAGGGTAAACCAGGGTTCATGGAAAGCCCCATGCCTCTATGGACTTAAGTACATTGGTGTTTTGGTCACACCACAGTCCATATCCAGCCTGTGTGATCCGCACTACACCATATTGCCATGTCATACAGTTGCCTATGTCATCCATTTCAGTTGGTGCACCAGGAAAAAATGTTATCAGGTAGAAATTCCTCAGAGGGGGCTCTTCTGCTCTGTTAATGGATTTGCATAATACCTCATTACAAGCATGCAGAGATCTTGGGCGAGAGATTAAGCATTGTCTTGTGCAAACAGAAGCACACCGCTAGATTTCAGTTCTCTTTTTCCTCAGTTGAAGGATCTTGCATTAAGTTTGGGAAAATCCTCTGCGCTTGTGAAATAAGCTGAAAGACAAGGAGGGGGATCTTAATGTGAGGAAGATCAGGCTTAGAGAAGGTCATGCAGGGAGTTTCTTGGTTCAGTGAGGACTAGAAGGTGGAAGTCTCAAGTCCAGGACTTTGTCCACTACACCATTGTGGCAAACATAGTAATGGTCATAGACGCCATTGTTAGGATGTGAGGGTTTTTTAAAAAAAATCTAATACTTGTTTATATCAAATATTTTATCTAATGGCTCAAATCTTGTTGTTTAGTATACTACATTGCAACTAAATTAGCCCCATTGAATCAATGGGGATTTGGTGAGTCAGCTCTTCTGTAAGTTCCATTGCTTTTACTCTAGTTGCAACGTTCTTTCAGACAATATGTTATACTTAAATCTCACCTTTCTTTGATTATAACATTAAGGCAGCATGGAAGTAGTTCTCAGTCAATTGCTGTCCCAAGCACTACTAACTCTAAAGCTTGCTTAGCTTTAGCAAGACACCTGCTTCATGTACCTCAAGACCATAACCTGAAGTCATCCATTTCATGTCCTATGCAATCATGATAAATTAAATCAAATAGTATTTGTAGGAAAGCGAAAGGCTCAATCTTTGACTTAATACATTAACCTTACTACGGAATAAATATCCAGATAAGACACTTGACTCTTCATGAAGAACACATGCCTGGGAATTGCAGAATAAGTTTTACTCATATGCTGTTATTTTCTTTTCAGGCAAACACTGTGAAATTAAGTGTCTTGAAAAAAAAGATTCCTTATCAGAACGTCCTAAGCAATGGGGTTTAGATTCATTTTGGGAAGTAATATACGTGCTCATGTTAAAATAGCCAGAACATCAAATCTTCTAAATTCTGCGGTTTAGCCCACAGCGCCACCACGTAAGCCCTATACATTAACCTTACTATGGAATAAATATCCAGATAAGACACTTGACTCTTCATGCAGAACACATGCCTGGGAATTGCAGAAAAAGTTTTACTCATATGCTTTTCTTTTCTTTTCAGGCAAACACTGTGAAATTAAGTGTCTTGAAAAAAAAGATTCCTTATCAGAACGTCCTAAGCAATGGGGTTTAGATTCATTTTGGGAAGTAATATACGTGCTCATGTTAAAATAGCCAGAACATCAAATCTTCTAAAGTCCCTCAAGGGAAGTCAGTACTATATTTTACACATTAAATTGTGAAATATTGTCATATCAGATTTCTAGAAAACTATTTTTGAAATTTCCATATAAACATCACTTGAAATGTGTGTGGGTTTGTGTTCTGAATTATTTCTGTGTGAGTGCGGGAGAAAGAGTGAGTGTTTGAATTCATTGGCACTATGAAGGATTTGATGAGGGCAGTGTGAGCAGCCTTCACCACCTAGAATGAGCATAGGTCATGAAGTTCAAGCCACATATAGTCTTCGCAAATCCCAACACATCCAACATCTGAAGAGGGAAGTAGTCTAAAGTGATTGCAGACCATTTGACGATTCAAAAGTAGATTTTGCTGTAACTGCAGTGTTCTGATTATGTAAATCAGAGTGATTAAGCAGGTAACAGGTAGAACTGGATGAATCAGAATGAAGTGGATCACTTCTTACCAAATAATTGCATTAAAGGAAAGTTGGCTGATGTACAATGGTATTTTGTGTGTGTGTATGTGTGTGTGTGTAACTGCTGCCATTATGTAAGAAATGAAACCAAACTAAAAACAAATTCAATTTTAAAAAACCCAGGTTTATAAATATGGGATATTGTGCTTCTCTACCCATGATTCAAAAAGCCAGGAAATGGTCTGACATTGCTGCACAACATCGTTCCTGCATTGCCAGCCCAAAAAAGAAAAAAAAAAGGGATGCCAAGCTTTACATAGCAAAGGGCAGCCTTCATATTAACACCAAGAGCAGTAGTCAAGATGGGCTGCAGGGTACTCTTTTGTGTTTACTACCATTCACAAAGTGACACCATACCAGGGAAAAACCCAGAAGCTGACTCCTTTTTTTGATCAACCATCCACTTCTTACCCAAACACAAAGCAGTTGTCCATCCACTTCTCACCCAAACACAAAGCAGTTGTCAGGACTGTTTTGCAACAAGTGTGAGCAAACAACTCAAAAACTATTTACACAAACATCCCAACATTTGGCCCAGTGCAAGAGCAGACTGTCTGCTAGCTCTGTGCCGAATTTGGTGTTATCTCAAGGTTCTGTTTCAAAGTCACATTTTTTGTGTTTTTTTGTTTGTTTAGGATACCCCTGTTTTTTTAATTGGCTTATGGAATACTGAATTGGTTTGTCATGTGATATCTCTTGCTGCACTCTTGTGCAGCAATAATAAAGTGGTTTTAATTTGCAGTCTAGTTAAGAAATCTCTCATGCAGCAAAGCTATATTGCCTTCATCTTACTGAGTCATTACTGAAACAAATGAAGTAGTGAAATTGGAGGATTTTGTACTGACAGATGAAAGAGATTGTTCCAACTGTCTCTTATTTCGAAAGGGCTGGCATTAGTCATTCGCTGAGCTGTCCTCTTAGCTTGCTCTGTTGCATATATTAATCCTTCCTTGTGCTGAGGCAGCTGTTCCCCCTGCTTCTGCCACTCCATACAGTACTCTCCTGCTAAAAGTCTTTTCTGAGCTTTGCCACTCCATACTCTCCTGCTAAAAGTCTTTTCTGAGCTGGGAAGAAAATGCTGCAGCTGAAGAAACAGCTGGGGGCACAAGCCCTTCTTTTCCCTTAAGATGATTGAGAGGCAAAAATGTAGCAAAAACACTGCTTATATTTTCTGCAAGTACTTTTCTATAGGAAACTAAACATGAAGCTTTGGTTAAGGATAGGATATTATTAATGCTATTTTTAATTTTCAGTTTGGTCATAATAAGAATGAAGCAGCAACTTGATCTGTTCTTTCACCATAATGACAAATGAATCTGAGGGGAACACTTGACTGAATGGAAAAAACAGTCTGTGGTTTTCCAAGAGTGTCCGTTTAATTGTGGTATTCTGAGGCAAAGCAAGAGTTATGTTTAAAGCCATCAGAGGATAGTAGATCTATGTGCCTTATTGCAGGCCTACAGCCCACCACCAGCCTCATTGTCAAGAATCTTGGGAAGGAGCACAAAAAACAGATGTGTCCAAAGAAATAGGACAGAATTTCAGGGCTTTCCAATAGATTGCTTGTTGGCCGTTCTAGGAAACGGGAGGGACAAGATTAGCCTTTGTTCTTACAGCAGAGCTCGTAAAGTAGATCAGAGGTAGGTTTGAGTGTCCAGTGAGAGGTCTTCCACTCAGAAAGGACAAACATTTCAAAAAATGGGTTAAAGAGGAAAACGGTTCTGTATTGTGGCTAGTTAATAAATAAATGATATGTTCCAGCACTGTTTCCCAACATCGAGCATATATCAAGTTCCAGACTCCATGTGGCAAGGAGAGTGTGATCTTTGAAATAATGAGTTACAAATAAGATACAGTAGTTATCTGCAACTTTTGGGCAATGAAGTTGTGGCAATGTTAGTTATCAAAGGTAGTGAAATTATGAAGATTACAAAGTTATTTCAGTGGTGCAATGATGGCAGTTTTTAGAGTATCTATTTTAATTGTATTTTAATTGTTTTATTTTTTTATTGTATTTTAATTGTTGTAAGCCACCCAGAGACCTTTGGGTAGAGTGGGTGGCATATAAGTTAAGTAAATAAATAATATTTTCTAATTGCTTTAAAAACCTGCTTTTAAAGGGCATTATAAACATTTGTAGAATTTTGACAGGAATATTTCAAGATGAATGCTGTTTCCATATCAATTCTAAAGTTTCATTAAAAAGAACAGTAACAGAAGATAATGCAAAATGGGAAAAAGTAAAAGAAAATAAATAGAAGGTAATGCAAAAGTAGCGAGCAGTACAAGTAACATGAGTTATTTTTTCAGCGAGCAGTGAGAATGAACACCTGTCTGTTGAAGTAGACTTGTCCATGACAGTTCACATTAAAAATATATAAAAGTTAGTTTTAAGGTGCCACTATGTTTTTGTCTCTTTTTTTTACTTTTTGTTTTTTAACTCTTAATGCCTTATGACCAGAACTGTGTGATGGCTCCAGCCAAATGCTGAGTTCTGAATTGTATCAGGGCCATTTTTGTTGTCTTGGTGGTACCCTTGATTGAAATTGTTAGGTCCTGCCTAATTCTGTTGCAGACTAGGATCATCCTGGACCACACACCAAAGAAATCCAGCATTTGGAAAGTTAAAATATGTGGACACATGCAGAACAGTGGAGAAAGGAAAACAGAAAGTTAGAGTGCATTATAAGAAATATCTGCCTTGCATAAGGAAGAAGTGGATTTGTCCACAAAAGGTCACATTAAAATATAGCAGTTGGTCTTTAAGGTGCCACGATGTTTTTGTCTTCTTTTATTTTAATTTTGTTTTTGCCTCACGTGGAAATGCTGAGGTTTGAAGTGCCAAAAAGGGTACACAAGGTTATAAATTGGGAGGCTTCATGTAGCTGAACACACACACACACACACACACACACACAGAGAGAGAGAGAGAGAGAGAGAGAGAGAGGTTTGGTGCATGGGCTCCATTTCATGACTTGAAACACACACACGGAGCGCTACACAAGTATTAAAGCAGAGGTGGGAAATTTTTTTTACCATCCATGGTTTTTGCTTCTGCCTGCAACCCATGTGTTACCTTTGGTTGACCAGGGATGATGACAACTGTAATCCATCTGAAGGGCCACAGTTGCCCACCTTGTGTCATGGTTATGGAAACTCTAGCTTGCTTTTGAGCACTCTGGACGTTAGGAGAAAGATGAAGGAAGAACAACAGAAAGCAGCATTGGGAGGAGAGGCGTGCGGGGGGGGGAAGGAAGCTTAGAAAAAGGGAAAAGAAACCACGGCAGAAAATGTGCAAAAAAAAAAAAAGCAGAAAACAGCAACAAAGGCAGCCTTGGCAGAACATTGGTGTTACCCGATCTGTAAGTAAATAATGAATGATATAATCACAGAGTTGGAAGAGACCACAGAGCAGAAAAATGTGCAAAAAAAAAGAAAGCAGAAAACAGCAACAAAGGCGGCCTTGGCAGAACATTGGTGTTACCTGATCTGTAAGTAAATAATGAATTATAGAATCACAGAGTTGGAAGAGACCACAGGGGCCATTGAGTCCAATCCCTTGCCATGCAGGGCCTCCGTCAAAGCACTCCCGACAGATGGCCGTCCCGCCTCTGCTTAAAAACCTCCAAAGGAGGAGACTCCACCACACTCCGAGGCAGCCTCTTCCACTGCCGACCAGCTCTGACTGTCAGGACGTTCTTCCTGAGATTCAGGTGGAATCTCTTTTCCTGCAGTTTGAAACCACTGCTCCTTGTCCTAGTGTCTGGAGCCGTGGAAAACAAACCTGTCCTTTCCTCAACATGACATCCCTTCAGATATTTAAACATGGCTATCATGTCCCATCTTAATAATGAGTACTTAATAAAACCTTTTTTTTAAAAAAAAGGCTGTCAAAATTGTTGATTTTGAAGTTAGGGTCTTTAGCTAAGTTACAAACCTTGTTTGTGCTGAACCCTACGAGAAAGCCACTGCTTTTGAAACTCTCTCTGGCCCCTTTACTGGGTCAAGTGGACTTTAATCATACACATCAGTCATCGAACAATGGAACAGTGCTATGAATTAAGACCCCAGATTTGCTGGAGTGAACTGGTATCCATTCATGTGGGTACACTACAGCTCTTCAGATTCAGATGAAAATTGTTCAGGTAGGTAGGTATTCTGCCTATTCCCTCCCAGTCAAGCTAAACGTAGATGGAAATTATTCTTATGTAATGTTTCCTCAAGAGGGCAGCAAACAACAGCCAAAGATCTCATCCTGCATCACAGCTTTCTAAATTTACTGTGAATCCCTAGCAAGGCCTCTGATGTAAGAGGGTCTCGTGACCACATCAATGTGACCAGATGGCCTAGTTTCCCACCGTCACAGCAACAGTCCTCTTAAGGGTGGTACAAATGTCTGCCCAGGCCTCTACAAAAACACCAACCATGACAGAGCTGGTGGATCAGACAGAGAACAATCTGCTAGAATGCAAGGTGTGTTTTGAAAAATACAACCAGCAAAAAAAACACCGGCCAAGGAACTTACCATGTGGGCACGTTATGTGCTTTGAATGTGTCATGTCTATGACCCACCCTCGGAATTTTAAACTGGAGTGTCCATTCTGCCGCAGAGCTTGCAAATCATCTGAGACCAGCGACTGCTTGCCTTTGTTACACCTGATGGAAATCGTGAGCCCTTCTTCAGCTGCTCATGTTCCAATTTCAGGAAGGACTATTGCAAGGACGACGGAGGATGTAGCTCTCCCAGCATCTTGGGTCTTAACGTTCAGCCGTTCTTTTGGAGGATGGGGAACCCTGATCAATCCAACAGGGATGGCTGTGTGTCAGAGGTCTGGCTGTGCAGCAGTGGCACATGATGGCAAGAAGAGGATTAAACTGTTTACTTTCACTGGGGACTGCCTACAGCAATTTGGAGAACGAGGACAGGCAGAAAATGACATCAGGTACCCGAATGATGTCACAATCACACTGGATAGTCACGTCGTCGTCACAGACAGCGGGGATTGTTCCGTCAAAGTGTTTGATTTTACTGGTAGAGGCAAACTAGCTATCCGGGAATCTTTCTGTTTACCATGGGGTCTGGATACTACGCCTCAGAATGATGTTATCATGACTGATTCAGGGACAGGTAGTCTATATTGCTTGACGGCTGACTTTAAAAGGGGGGAATTGAAGGACGTGAGAAAACTGTATTCTGATTTGTGTAACCCAAGAAAAGTGGCTGTTTCTCAGACCTCTGGAGCTATTGCAGTCATAGAACATTTGACTGCAAAAGGACCCAGCTGTGGCAGCACCAGATTGAAAGTCTTCAGTGCCGACATGCAGATTATTAGTCAGGTGGACAGTTTTGGCCTAAGTCTGTTCTTTCCATCCAGAGTATATGTTAGTGGTGTGACCTTCAGCAGGGAAGGTCATATAGTAGTCACTGATGCTTTTAACCAAGCAGTATTCTGCCTTGGAAAACCAGAAGAATTCACCATATGTAAACCCATAGTTACCCAGGGCCTCTCCTACCCATTGGCACTGGCCTTTGCAGGAGATAATTCTCTGATTGTTTTAGATGGTGGTGATCATTCCTTAAAAGTGTATATAGCTAGCTGAAGTATTGAAATATGTTTTCTCACTAGTTGGGAGAAATTAATCCAGTTCACAGCATAACATAAATAATACATAGAAGGCCTTTGTGCATAACTTTACCAATTGAGTAGGAAAAGCAGATACTGTATGAGCCTTCTCCATGTCAGCTGTAGTGAAAGCCAGTCCACCTTAGTTAGGTGTGTAAAACATAGGGGCCTTCAGATATTTTGGATTCCTACAACTTCCACAGTTCCTACCAGCTAGGAGTCATGCTGACTGGGCCTGCTGTGAGTCGAAGTTTAAAATATTTGGAGACCCCAAGGTTTTTCACTTCTGATCCAAATGGTCTGAAGTAAAGGTACAACTGCAATCCTGTGCCCATTGAAAGCAATGAGAATTATTTCTGAGCAGATGTGTATAAGATTGTGCTGTTAACCATTCCCACAAGACTTAATCACAGTGAGGTAATTTAGAAACTGTACAGTACATAAGCAGTTCTGGTACTCTATGCATTAGGCTCTGGATAGGATTCCTTTCTCCTGTGTTTTAGATGTCTTATATAAAAATGCCCTTTGAGTCAGACCGTATACTTCCTTAGGCAAATAGACAGCTTATGCCATTAGTAAAAGGTTGTAATTGTGGGAGCTGTTGTACTGGGAATTCAGATCTATCCTCAAAAAATTCTATACTGGGTCAAATATAGAAATCAGTGCTGCTCAGAACTTGGAAGTAATAAATTACAAACAGCACAGACAATGAGTTGTGTTTTGTTTTTTGTTTTTGTAACGAGTATAATGAAGCGGCACTCCCAAAATAATGTGAAGAATTGATGTGATGTAACATTTGTGGTGCATCAAGCTTTCTCAAGTTATTTCTTTAAAAATATTTCTTAAAGGCATTTTTAGAGGCATTTGGATAGGAATTATTAAAGTTTTCCATAATTTTGCTGCCAATCCTACTTGTTTTCTTGAACTAATGGAAAGCAATAAAAATGTAATAACAAGTACTAAAACAAGTAATGAAACCAGCTACTTCTAAACTTCACAGGTAATGATAAATAATTACTTCACGTTTTAAACATGGTAATTAGTAACTGGAACAAACGGCTTTAAAGATGTAACTTGTTAGGTTCTAGAAGCATGTCAGTTCTGTTGCACAGGGAATTGTTGCCTTCACTGGCTGTGTTTCATGCCCATCGTGGGAAAGCATTTTCAGCACAACAGAACTGGGCAAAGAAATGACACGTTCAAGACGGTGAAGGCATGGAGATGACTTATTTCTCTGCCCTAAAGCAAGCTTCACACCTGCCATAAATGTGTTGGAGCTGTTATGCTAGTGCAAACATGCCTGGCTAGGACAGAGTAAAGGCTTTGTTCTACAGGGTGTGCCTTTTATAGGGCAACTTCTTTCTCACTAAATCTCTTGAGCTGTCCTGAGCTATGGCTCCTTTTTATTGCTATAACTGTCTGTATCTATGGCAACCTGCATCTGTAGCATGCTGGCTGCAGAGGTTCTGGGAGCTGTAGTAAAGAAATAATTTTACTAAGCTCTGGAACCTAGTGGCACATCTTTGGTTGTTTAAATTAAGGGCCAGAATCCTACTACCCATGTCCATCAGCATCAATTTCAGCAGCAAACTGCCACAAGAAGCTGACATAGACATTTGACATCACACACCAGTCATATGACTTGGCACATGACAATCAAAAGAATCAGGTGAAAATCCCTGTTTGAATAAATGTAAGGGCCACATTGCATTAAACCAATTTTAAACTAACCTTCTGTACCTTGGAATTTCAAGGGGTGAAAAAAAATAGTCCCATACTCAGCCAATACAAGGTCTGGGGTTTTTTGTGGGGTTTTTTTTTTGTATCTCAGGTCCTGAGGGTTAACATAGATAACTTTCTAAAACAGAAATCTACTGTTATTGAGATGAAATTAAGGAACATTTTATTATTGGGTAACTGAATGTTTGTAGTTTAGCATAACAAGTTTAGTTATAATCATTTTTAAGAACTACATAAACAATAGCAACATTATCAACACAATTCATTGTGCAGTTTAGGGCCTAAAGAGAAAGTGCACGAAACCACTGGCCACATTTTCTGGCATTTTGCTCTTACTTTAAATAATAGCTTAGTGAGAGTACTTTGTACTTAGAATACATTTAAAAGAGTTGCCATAGGTCAGAATTGACTTCATAGCACATTATTCAAAAACACCAATCAGAATTATGAAAACATTGACTGGTATTATATAACAGATACAAGTTTTAATCAAAACCTAAGTATCTGTTAAATATTGGTGCAATATGTATGCTGTTCCTAATATTGCTGGTTTTTGCAGCTGTGATGTTATTAAACTATGAGTCACAACATCTGTTTCTTTTTCCTACAACTGAAAGTTCTGATGGCATCTATTGACATCTACACTCTGTGTCAAGTGAAATATCCTCCTGCCTGAATCTGCCTGGCTATGGTGCATGGAGCTGAGGATAGTGGGAGATGGAGCCTGAGCAGAAGATGGACACACCTACCCTTTCTGCCATCCATGTACTGTATCTCTCTTTCTCCCTCTCTCTCTCTTGACAAAGAAGGCAGGTTTGGGAGGGATAGATTGTTCTTTAAGGTGGTCTCAACTGGCAGTTTACAGAGATCTTTAGCCTGATTGCTAGTCCCCTATGCTTTGTCTTCTGACCTGCATGTAGTTTTTTTGTCCATAATCTGCCACATTGTGTTTCTCTCCATTGCTTCAACAAGGTATATTGAAGGACAAAAAGTGGGACTTAACCTGTGTTGCATCGTGCAGTACTTTTGTTCAGAGTTCTAGCCACTCCCCTAGCTTTCCATCTTCCCCAAACATCAATCAGTATTCCTGGCCACTGAGCACACTTAATCTTGTTGGACTATTTCTGGGTTTAGGTTCTTAACATTTATATTTCTAAACATTGCTGATACTTTGAGAGGACCTAGAGTTCCAGAGAGGCTACACACACCTCCCAACAAGGTGTGGAAGATATCTTTTCAGCTACCTAAGGACCAGTGCTTCAGATCACTGCTAGGTAAAATATGCTGTAAGACAAAATGGACAATAGCAGATGTTTTTCACCATGAGCATTACTGCATCTTCTTCACCGCAACACAGATTAGGTGAGATGCATGTTAATTTCAAATAATGTACATTTTGTTTGTTGCCCAGAAAATATCCACTACTGATCAGAACTACAAATTTTCCTGTGTTAATTAAAATCAGTAAGTTCTGCTAGATCTAATATACTGAATATTATTCTTACACAAGTAAGAGAATTTGCAGTTTTGGAGAAGATAGCAAGTGCACAGGGCTTGAAAAATTTTAGAATGTCTCAACAGTCAGCCAAAAATTTGACCAGTCAGCATGACATGACGGGACTATAGCTTTGCAATTTATGTTTAAATTTAAATTTAAACTAGACACTTTCTACATAACAATGAGTACAAACCCAAAATAAATATACTCTCAGATTTGAGTTGCTTTATTAACTGTGTGCATGTAGGGTCATGAAGTGTGTATTTTGAATGCCTTTCTTCTGAATGTCCCACAAAAAAAAAAATCTGAAAGCAAAAGTGCCCGACCTCTTGAGTCAGGTCATTCAGCTGAAATTGGGAGCAGGGAATCGCTATATTCTCCAGCATAGGACTACTCTACATTCTCCTGAAGAGCTATATCTCTATGTGCCGCTCGAACTATCTTCTCAGGAGAAGAGGGCTGTTTTTCCTTTTGCAATTGGAAGGGGCAGGGGAGAATTGCAGGATCAGAGAGAGAGAGAGATGGACTGAGGGTAAGGAGGGAGGAAGCGAGGGAGGGATAGAGGGAGCTGTGGTTTGTCAAGCAGCAGTTTTTCACTCATCACAGACGAGTGGATTTTTCAAGCCCTGCAAATGCACAAATATTTTCTCCTTCTTAATAACCCTTTCTCTATTAGCTTTCAAACCCAAGTTTATTCTGATTCAGTTATGAGGTTTACTATTGTGAGAAACGTCCCTCCACATATAATTTGCTGAATTAGGAAGCAATGATTAAATGTGAATGACCATGCCCTGTGAATGGATCCATCTGATTTATGCTGCTTTCAGGTACAAATCTGCAAATCTGATGCATAACCAAGAGTAGGGACAGAAAATCTGTCAATTCACTTTCTCACTTTATTTTGTTAATCTCAGATACATTTGTCCCTGAATATGGAGAAAATTCAGATTTTTTGCGTGTGCCAATTCTAAGTTATTTGGCAAACAAAATTTCTTCCCATCTGTAGTGACCAAATTCAACATGTGAAAGTTTTTCAAGCATGGAGATGATAATGTGATGCTTTCCTGCAGACTACAAGAAGACAGAAGGACCACATGAGAAGCTCAGAGAGGTGGGGAGGGAATTGACACTGACATGGTTGAATACAGATTGATTCTTTACATAGTTTCATCCTATCTTAACCTGGGCGATATCAACCCCCAGGGGGTGATTTTGTTTTTCAGGGGGGTGATGGAACAAAAAGGGGTGACGCGGGGGTGAAGGAATAGAAGGGGGGACATATGGGGGCAATGGAGTGAGCCAAACCTGTGAAGGCAGCTGCAGCCATGGTGCTGGCAGCGGATCCAGCAGGTGGATGGAGAGCAGCTGGTGCTGGCAGCGGATCTGGTGCCGCTGCCGCTGCTATCTATGTTGGGGGAGGTGGGCGATGATAACTTCCTCAATGGCTCAAGGGGGCAATTTTTTTAAAAAGGTCAAGAACCACTGTTATAAAGGACCCTTAGGAAGAGGATGAATTAAGTTCAGAGCAGGAGGATATATCTCTGTAGTAAACTGCTGGCTCTCCTTTGAGTCTTTGTGATGTAATGAGACACAGATTAAAAACTCTTTAAAGAGTTTGCAGGATGTATGTTAGAACCCAAAGACATGTTACAAGCCAGCACTCACCAACTTGGTGTTCTCTACATTTTTAGGGCTTCTTTAGTTCCTGATCATTAGCTATGCTAGCTGGGGTTTATGGAAGCTTCAATCCCATGGCAGTAAATCTTAAAATGAAAAGGAGTCCAAGAAGACTGGGGAGTTTCTAAAAAAGGAAATAGATTATTTTTGAGATACGATAACTAAACCAGATTTATGAAGAAGTAGTAACAGTAAATATTTATGTTTTTATTATGAACATGTCTATATTTATTGATCTAGATAAGGACAAAGACCTACCTAACTCAATATTCAGTTCCCACAGCAGACTACCTGATGCTCATGGGAAGCCTATGAGCAGGATATGAGTTCAGTCACACTGTACAATTAAAGGTTCACTGAATGATGCATACACCTTCATCCCCCATGAATTTTCTAATCACCTTTTAAAGTTACAAAATTAGTGGTCATTGCTATATCTTGCAGTAGTCAATTCTGCAGTTTGATTAGGTGCTGTGTGAAGTACTTCATTTTGTCCTGAACCCTCCACCACTGATCTTAATTGCATGAAGCATTATGACAAAAGGGGGAAAATCTTCATGTACACATTTACCAGACCGCGCTTAAATTCATACACCTTTATCACATCCTCCTCTTCTCACTCTTTTTCAAAGCTAGAAAGTCCCACATATTCCCTTTTCCACCCAGAGGAGCTATTCCAACCACTTGATTATGTTAGTGTTCACCTTGCTTTCCAGTTCTGCATTACCCTCCGTGAGCTGCAGTGATTAGAACTGTACATAGAATTCCACCTCTGTCTCTCCCCTCAGTTTGCATGAAGACATTATGATAGTTTTATTTTTGGTTCCTTTCCTAAAGAGTCCAACATGGAATTGGATGAATAGATTTATTAGATACAGAGACAGATATACAAACAGAGCCTAAAATTTTGAAATAGTTTAACAGAATTTGGGAAGTTGTCATTATTGTGATAGTTATTACAGTATGTAGAAAACCATAAAAATAAGAAAGGGGCTGTTGCCCTTTATAGAAAGGTGGAATAATTGATATATACAGTTCAGAATGACTTCAAGACAATCTACATGCTTGCTGCTTAATGAACTAAGTTGTAACATTTGTTTCTATATGTACTTGTTTCTAAAATCATAACTTAAAAAGACATTGGTCATGAATATATAAATAATACTCTTAATAATGATGTTTATAAGCTGGCCTCCTGCTTTGTTTTGTGAGTAGCCCTTGTCTCAATTCAGAATTCATCTTCACAATAGAACTGCAGGGATCTGTTTCAGCCATACTTGCATACCAGACATTCTTTATCGTAATGATGAAGAGAGTGAAAGCTTTTGAGGGAGGGGCGAATAATGGAAGTCTTGTCCTTTCCACAGCTCACACTCATTTATGTTGTACATGTCACGAACTGACTGTGGCTGTTAATTGCTTTTTAGGGATAAGCAATTCATTTCTTAGTTCTGGAACAGTTTGTAGGGAAAAGAACTCCAGTAAGTAGGGCAGAGGAGCCTCACATGCTAGGAGACTGGAGTATCATTTAATGTTAAAACTTAATATCATTTCTTGCATTAGCAGAAAAAAATATACAGAATGTCAGTATCCTTGTGTTTCTCTCTCTCTCTCTCTCTCTCTCTCTCTCTCTCATACACATACACACACACACACACACACACACACACACACACAAAGAGGGTGGGAGGGAGGGAGAGGGAGCACAAGCATCGTTTATTGTTCCTATTTGCCTATCATGAAACACAGCACCTCAGTGGCTTTTATAAAATTTATAAAAGCCTGGATTAAAGAAATCTCCCATTCTCTTTTCTGTTGCCTGAGACAGTCATGTGTATGTTTCTTTCAAAAATCTGTTTACATTTGTTGGATTAGAAAAATAAGGATAGTTCTTTGTTACTGTCTTAGCAGGGGCCTCAGAAAGTCTTACATATTTTAATGACTTGGCAAGTAGCATTCATCCAAAAAAAACAGCACCACAGATCTCCTCCAAATATTCTTCTCATGGAGATTAGTTTTAATTACAGATTAGAATGTGAGTTTGGCTTTTTTATTTTATTTTTTAACTTTAAAGTCTCTCTGATGGGGACTTGCATACCATTTGTGATCATCTGCATTAATTCTTCCAAAATAGTTAGGCATAACACAGCTTTTCTTGCTCTGTGCTTATGCACACTGTCTTAACTGTATGTACTGAATTGACAAGAGATGCTTAAAAGTCATAGTTGGTACTTGAAATGCCATTTATACACAGATACCCAACTATGGATGTAACTCTGAACGTGGAATGGTCTCTCAAAGCATCTGCTCACAGTAGGCTGATCGGTATTTTTATTACCTGAGAGTCTGATCATTACTACTGTCCTTCCAATGAATTCCAGATAGGGCTGACCACAAAGCAGTGTTCTGCGCATGCACACACTTAAGCATTTGACTAGCACACAGAGGTGAGGTGTTAAAAATTATAGTAAGAGAAATTAACAGGGAAAGGGGAAAACTCCACTCCCTTCTCCTGTCATTCTCTGTGCTGCTTTAAACTATGATCCCAAAGGGAAGAAATGGCTTAAAGGAGGGAAGTATAGGGAGGGAAAGCAGGCGAAGGGATGAATTTTGCTCTCCTCTCTGTAACATTCCTTTTCATATTTGAAAAAAACAAATTCTACCTCCCTGCTTTATAGCCAAATAGGAAGTGCAGATGTACCTTGGTCCTTATATAGACTAAGGTACTGATTTGTTTCAAATGTGCTGGAGGAGAGCTTTGCAGGTAACCTGGACTGCCAGAAAAACAAACAAGTGGGTCCTGGATCAAATCAAGTCTGAACTACCTTTGGAGGCAAAATTTTTGAAATTTAGACTGTCCTCCTTTGGATACATCATGAGAAGGCAGGATTCTCTGGAAAAAAACAATAATGCTGGGAAAGGTGGAAGGCAGCAGGAAAACAGGAAGACCAAATATGAGATGGACTGACCCCCCCCCTAAAGGAAGCCACAGGCTTAAGTCTACAAGAGCTGAGCAGGGCAATTGAGGACAGGGCATTTTGGAGCTTGCTCATTCATAGTACAGTATTGCCATATGTCAGAAGTAATTTGGCAGCACATAACAACTACTACGACTACTACTCCTACTGTGATGCAGTGTGAAAAACTGATTTCAACAATCATGAACAAACCAACAAATACAAATTGTCTTTCGCCTGTTCAGCACCTACAATTTTAGCAGTTTCAGCAAGCTAAAATGTAGGCTCACATTGTATTAGACAAAACACAAATGGGAAAGTAAGAAAGCAAATTCAGCTATCAATACAAAATCTCACTAATGTCCATCAATATGGACAGAGATGCTTTGCTGCCTCTAAGCAGACCTGTAAGCAATCTGGCAGCCCTATATCCCATGGCCTAGAGCAGAGACCAGAGGGTGATCCCTTCAGTTCCCCAGCTGCATGACAAGATCTTAGGCCATGGATTACTCCTCAACCTCCTACAAGCAATACTAAGATAATAGTTGATTTACTGCTGTAGGGATTATGGAGATAAATGTGTGCCAACCACTTTGAATAATCTGGGTAACCAGACTGCAGCAGGTGGGTTGGAAACCACAACTGGGTCACTCTTTCTCACACGCAAATCCTACAGAGGTTTGTGTCAGTGACAACTCTTGTCATTTAAACCTCTCTCTTTCTTACGTTCAAGCAAGGGCAACTCCAGGAGAACTGGGAAGCTGTTACTAGGAGATCCAACAGCTACAGTATTCCATCCATAGGCGTTATTACCTTTTGACAATGAGAGAAAAGGATTTTGTGGGACGCCCATTACTTCCATTTGTAAAAAAGAAAAAAAAAACGGGGAAGAGAGAGGGAAATCAGAGCGAAAGGCAAAAAAAAAAAAGAGTTGACAGAACTTAAGGTGGTTCTGTGTTGCAGATTGGGACTAAAGGCAATTCCGTGGCCTCAACAAGTTGGACTATCGCCCCATTTCGCTTTCTGGATGTTTTATGTACGATTACTACACTGTGGTGACTCACGGCTCCAATGAAACCCTGACCCTGTGTTAACACACAGTAGGAAACTGGTTACGGTTAATTTCTAACTCCACGATTCAGGACTCCGGGAGCTTCTCCAGAACAGGGACGTCTCCTGTTTATTCCAAGTTTCCTCCCCGCCACCGCCAAGGTCACGCCGCGGCATATTCCTCCAGAAGCAACCTCTGTGTGATTTATAACCTTAGCCTTGCCGCCTAGCGCGCTGTGAGCTTTTTAATCACTTCCCACTCTTTTCTTCGACTTGACACCATCACCCACCCCTCTCCGAGGAGGGGCGACAAGCAGGAGGGCCCCCCGTGGGGCGAGGGGAGCAGAGAGGCGAACTTCCACTTGGCCGGCAGGCCATCTCGAAACAGTTCTCCCCCCCCAGACAGCCCCATGTGCGCTTGCGCGGATCCCATCTGCCGCTCTCGCTCGCTCGCTCTCCAGGAGGCTGGAGCGAGTCCGCGCATGACCGTTAGGTGCGCCTTCCGACTCCGTCTGTGAACGTCCCCCCCCGCCTTCCTCTGTGCCGAAGGCGATCGACTATCTCCGTCGTTCTCCGACTTATCCACCTCCCTCTCCGGGAGCCTGGATTCTCGGCAGCAGGAGGGGAGAGGGAGGGAGGGAGGCGAAAGCGGGAGAGTCCGCCGCGGGGGCTGAAAGATGGCGGTTGAGATGGGGAGGAGGAGGAGGAGGCGGCAGCAGCAGCAACAGCAGCAGGAGGAGGCGCGGGGCTGGGCAAGAAGAGGGCAGCGAGGCTTGTCGCGCCGGCGAGGCTGAGGCGAGGGAGCGCTGCCGCCCACCCGCTCTCCCCCGGCGATCTTCCCCGTCTTGTGCTGGGGCTCCCTTCGCGCTTTCTGGGGCTCCCTTTCGCCCGCCTGGTGGTGCCCCAGCCCTCCCCCCGAGAGATGGACTCCGGCGCGGCGCTTTCCCTGTCGGCGCTGCTGTGGGAGGCTTCTCGCCCTCGGCCTCCGCTGCTGCGGTGAAGCGCTCCGGGGCGGGGGGGGCTTTCTCCCGCCGGTCCCCTGAGGGAGAGGGGCGAGTCGTGGCTTGTGCGCGAAGGCAGCCGAGGCTCCCAGAGCCCCGTTCCTTTGGGGGCCGGCTGGCTTGCGGGTGGAAGGGAGGAGGAGGAGGAGAAGGAGCCTCCCGCTGCCGCCAGCGAAGATGTCGGATACCAAGGTGAAAGTGGCCGTCCGAGTCCGGCCCTTGAACAGGAGAGGTAATGGCCGAAAGCGGGGGGGGGGAAGAATCAGGGGAACTATCCCCCCCTTCCTGGCTGACCCCCGACCTCACCCCCTCCTCCTCTGGGGCGAGGAAGACCGCCTTTCCTCCTCGGACTGATTGCCTTGCAGAGCGGCCGGGATGGGCTGGGGAAGGACGGGAGGCATGGCAGCGGGAGTTTGGGAAAACTTTTATTTTTCCCGGGAAGGGAGAGAAAGACGAAGGCCCCGTGGGGCTGGGGTGGTGGTGGTGGAAAGAGGGAGAATAGTCTCTTGGCTTTTCACAGATTTTGGCGAGTTTGGGCGCAAGGCTGTGGCGACCCAACGGGGGCCCGCTCGCTCTCTTGCTGGTTCGGGCAGCGATTCAGATGTTTTTCGCTGGAGCGCCGAGTCGCTTTTTTCCCCCCGAAGATGGTAGAGAGGGGTGGAGGCACCCCGGACAGGACAAACCCCGCCGCTTGATGCAAAACCGGGCCGGGGGGGGGAATCGTTTTCTCGCTTGTTGGGTGGGGACCCTTGCTTGGCTCTTCTTCGGGCCCCTTCTCCTCAGATAACCTCCCACCTTGGGAGGAGGAATTCCCGAATTCCCCTCTTCCGTCTTCGGAGAAGTTGGTGGTAGAATCTCCTAGTCCTCAAGACTGTACTTTGAAATGTGTGTGCATGTGTTTGAGTTTAATGACCTTTTTGTCATTTTTCAAAAGGTGCCTATCGCCCAGCTTGGGTGGATTCTTTAATTTCCCCCTTCATCTCTGTACTTAAAATCAGGGTGATTAAATAAAACGGAAGACTTTCTTCTCCCCACCCTTTTCTGCACAGCGATGTTTCAATCCTACATTAGTGATGGGTGAACATGGCATGGGCATGGCATACAACAGCAGTAATCTTATGTATGTGGCATGCAGCAGCTGGCAACCTCACCAGTAACACTGGATTTGAACTGGGAACTCATATAGGTGTACTTCTCTATTTAGAAAAAAAATGCCTGTATACTGTACATTTCTGGGGAATCTCGGTCAATCTGCTAATCTCCAATTTACTCTGAGATTTTGTGTGTGTGTGTTTTCTAAGAACAACGCCCATATCATTTCCTATACCCGTAGCAACAAGTGGGAGTTGTTTGCTAGATACTAGAAGAAAGAAACAGGAAAAACCCTGCTGGCCTGGGATGAAGTGTATATCATTCTGTAAGGGAATGTCCTGAACTCCTCTGTTGTGTTGTGTTCCAGAACTGGATTTGAATACCAAGTGCATTGTGGAGATGGAAGGGAATCAGACTGTGTTGTATCCTCCACCTTCAAACAACAAACAGGGAGAAAGCAGGTAAAAAGGAACACCTCCAAATCTTCTGAAGTAAGATGTGCAGTTTTGTGTGTGCTTTTGTTGGGGGAGCATCAGTTGTTTCTGCAACTTGCCTCTACTCAAGAAAAACGGGTTCTGATGCATGATTCTCTTGTGATTCACAGTGACGTAACCAGGGAACAACATTAATTGACCTTTAGCACCAAGTACTGATATGCATAAGCAGAAAATTACATGTGTTACTTTGTAACTGAACTACACTTTTGTGGAATTCATATAGTATCCATGGTTAATTGGAGATTAAATAATATTTTGTATTCTCAGATGGCAGTGTAAATTGTTGGAATTGTGGGTTTTTTAACATTCTGTTATACATCCTTATGAGCAGATTCATCTTGTTTTATTTTAACATGGAAAGAGGACTGAAACAATTCATATACAGTATCTGGCATTTATTTGTGAAGCTCTGAAAGAACAGTTGGAAATTATCCAAAATACCAATGCACCAGACTGTAAAAATAGATCAGATTTTTCCTTCATGAAGGGTCAGAAGGGGAGATTGTGCAGAGAAGATGTGGAAGGAAACTCATTTTTTTATATCTGTTGGGCATTCGGTGCATTTTTTAAAGTTGAGTGTATCTTAGCTATGTTTAGGTCCTCATAAGAGCATACTGTTTTGCATAGAATCATTTGAGAGGTACATTTGTTTTCAAAATAGATTTTTTAAAGGAATAGAAGTAATTACTGGAGGAGGACATGAGAGTTTTAAAATTTCTAGCTAACTATTTAACGCTCCGGCCTGTACTGTGCTGTCTGGATTTTGATTTTGTTGATATTTGTATCTAAACTTTTTCATCAGGTTATGAAAGGAGGTCCAGATTATAAATGAGAGATGAAGTCTCAGGATGTAGAAATTAGAATCAAGTTCTTTATTCTGAAGTCTTTAAATGGGTAGTTAAAAAGCTCTGGATCAACATGTTTTGGCAAAGCCTTCTTCAGAAGCTAAGCATAATACGAAACCACATGTTATTGAATCATTCACATTTTCTTTTGAAAAGAAAGCTCAGTATGTGTTTTATATTCTGTCTGATATGTTTTATAATGCCTAATGTGCTCAGTATAAATATATGTAAAGTTGAGAGTCTCGAGCCAGTTTTTCAAAAGAAAATGTGAATGATTCGATATCTAACATGTGGTTTTGTATTATGCTTAGCTCCTGAAGAAGGCTTCACTGAAACATGTTGAGCCAGAGCTTTTTAACTACCCATTTAAGGACTTCAGAATAAAGAACTCGATTCTAATTTCTACATCCTGAGACTTCATCTCTCATTTATAATCTGGACTTCCGTGGATGTACCAGTCAGTTCCTCTTGTTTTGTTTTATGAAAGGAGGTACCGGTTTAAAACAGGTTCAGTTGTATGAAACATTGCATTTAATTTCCTTTTATGCTTCAGACAGTTAAGTGAAAGCCCAATCCTCTATGCCATTGTAACAGTACAAAGTGGTCAGACTGGGTTACCATGGCTGATACCCTATTGCAATACATGACATTATTCTTGGATTGAAGAGTGACAGTGAGAGCCAATAGGGTGTTGTAGAAAGAGTGTTGAATCAGGGCACAGCAGACATAAATTCAAATCCCCACACAGCCATGGGAAGTCACTGAGGTGTGACAGTGGTAAAACCTGAAATATCTCACGTACTTGAAAACCCAAGTTGCTGTAAGTAGGAAACAACTTCATAATGCATAACTAAAAGAGTGGCCATCATTGTAAGATACAATAACCAAAATCCTGTTCACGTAAAATTATATAACAAGCTGATGATGACACCAGCTGATGCTAATACAATTGATTAAAATTAAGTAAATCCTTCCTGTGCCACCATTCTAGATTCCAAGGCTCCCTAGGGCTCTCTTTTTCCCGTAGCCTTGGGACAGGTGAGGGAGAGAGGCTTTAAAAGTGAAAAATCGCCACTGGATCACTAGTCCCAATCTTGCAGGTGGTTTTTCAGTGGTCATTTTTTACTTTTGAAGCCTCTCCCCACCTGTCCCAAGGCTCTGAAAGTCTTCTCCAGGGAAAAAGGGAGACCTAGGGGACTTCAGTGCGGGAAGCTTTTAATTAGTTTTAGTTAACTGTATTAAGTGATAGCTGATGACATCATCAGCTTCCACCATGTACCTTTAGCTGAACAGGATTTTGGTCGGTATAAATTCATTGGGTGTGTGGAAATAGTAAAACAATTCCTTAAGTATCTCACTTACCTTGAAATCCCTATTAGGGTCACTATAAGTCAGTTCGAACTGGACAGCACATAACAGCAACAGTAAGATACAATGTACTGGTGTCATCTAGATATGTTGTACACCACAAAAACAGGACTTAACAGGAACAGATTGGAAGCAGGAGGAGAGATGATTCACTTACATAGAACACACAATGTATTTTGTTTACTACAGAGATATTTAAGCTTTTTCATATCTGCGTGCTTTGCACTTGTCTGAGCAGGTGCATTTGTTTAGATCCATGGCTCACTCCAACCCAAAAGGAAAAAGTCTATTTGGAACCAATGTTTTTTTAAAAAATTATACAATAATTTTCTGTCACCAGAGATTGCTCATAAAGGGGATTAAAGTCAGTGCTAAAGTCAATATAAGTATCAATAAGCAGTGAAGTCCAATTAAATATATAAAGATTTTGGAGGAGAGCACCAATTAAATCCAATTTCAAACAGAGGATAAGTAAAAATTTCTCCAGCTGTCCTCAACTATGTTTTCGGCCATGGCTATAAACACGTATAAAAGAAAAATATAGTAGGTCAAATCAGGATTGTATTAGTTGCATAACAAACCTTATAAGGTGGTGCATGAAGAATTGTTTCCAGTCTGTGACCCCTTAAAATGTGCCTGCTCCCCCCAGGGGGGCATATGGCCCCTGTTGAGGATGGCTGCATTACCCTTTTCCAGCTTTATGATTGGAAAGACCCTGTCTTTTATATCAATTTAGCCTCAGGTGGAAGTGAAATGTAGGCTAAAGGTTCCAGATGATCTTGAGTAAGTGGCCATAATTATATACTTCTTCTCATTCCCAGCCTTGCAAAAGCATTTCTGTGTCTTCAGAACTCTTGGAGGTCTTTGGGTTTTTTTTTTTTGGTATGTGATACCAAGTGACTTTTGGTTTAATAGCAGCCTTCTTCAGCATAAGCCCATTGAGATACCTTAGAGGTCTGCAGCTGTTATAGGCACTAGCTAACATGGTCAGACATTCTGAGAGTAGTAGCTCTCCACATCTGATAGGTATCAAATTTAGGATATTGTAACTATTGTGACTTAAGTATGTGTATCTGAAGTAATTGTTTATTCATCCTGTGCTTAGTTCTGCTGCGATTTCCCTGTGATTTCTCAATTTTTCTCTAGCTTCTTATGTTAGATCATAGTACTTTGGCTTGGGGAAAGATCTAGACATTCTTTGAAAAGCATCATATATAACTGAAGGGTGTTTGTGCAATATGTAATCTGTACAAAATGACAAGTATCCTGGACTTAGACTGTTTATGATTTTGACTGTGTTCATTGAGACTTTGAACTGGGCCCAGATATGTTTTGGGGACCAAAGAATACTGGGCAGTATTGGAGTAATTGCAATATTGGAGTATGCCAGGCTAGTTTCTGATACTACTCTGGCACCTGCACTTCTGAAAGCAGCTGCATTTTTTATATTAATTCAGTCTGGATGTAACCAAAGCATGTGGCCAGATCTGCTTATTCAAGTAACAATTGGACATGGCACACACACACCCAAATGAGTGAAAGCACCCTTATTTTTTTTAAAGAACATTAAATCCATGGTAGGCAGATAGTAGACACAATAGATGAGATTTATAGTGGTTGACGTGGTTTGTCCTTATACCATTGCTTCAAACTTAGCAGAAATTAGGAGGGAAAAGTTCCAGCTCTGGAGAGCTGTTTTTTGTTGCAACATCTCCCAGACTCAAAGTTATCTAAATGGGGTGTCAAGTGAAGTGAGGCAGCTACCAACTGTCTGTTTATCCAAAGGAATTATCAGCCAGAAGGAAGCTGCTCTACAGGCACTCCTAATATTACCTGCCTGAGGTAGCAGATAGAATAACGCCTGACAGAAGCTTTTGCTTTTGTTTATAGAACACTGTGAAGAATAATCTGATTTTGACCTCTCTTAAATTGCCTTTCCTGCTAAAAATGTTCCTGGGTGAAGTGATTTGGTTTGACTATATTTGAGTCTGGGAGACTCAAATATACTTCTACTTTATATATATATATATAATAGTCTGCATTCCATAAGTACTTTTTGTAATGTGTCTGTAGATGCTGTTGATTAAACTTTTGGATGTCAGGTGGGGGGAAAAGACAAAAACATTGCAGCATCTTAAGGACTGTTATATATTAATGTGAATTTTGTGGATCAAGTCTTAGTTGTTGTTTTTTGTTGTTGTTTTTGTTTTGTTTTGTTTGATATGCTTGCTCAGACAAACATGGCTACTTCTTTGAAAACAACTCCTGGAGTTTCGCTTCTTAGGAGAAAGGAACTAGACTCAGTCATTCAAATGTAGAAATATCACAGTAGATTTCTGTGGGAAAGTTTTCAGTGCTCCTTTTGAGTGGAAATCTTGGCTTTACAAGGCTTTTCAAAAGTTAGACAAACTCTTGTTATGAAGGCTATCAGCATTTGAATTACTGAGAATGTTTTCAAAGGAATTCTATGTAGCTGAAGATGTTTGTTATTTATACTTGATTGGGATTCCCATGTAACCTACTGGATAGAATAACAGACTGGGACTCTGGAAAATAGGGTTTTAATCCCTGGGGAGTGAAACTGACTTTCACTTAACTTGAAAGCCCCATTAGGGTCACTATAATTTGGTTCTGAATTGATGGCACAGAACCAACATACACACTTGGTTGTAGATAAAATTGATCTAGTGAGAGACAACCTACATTTTGCAAAACTTAGAAAAATTCTTGAAGTAAAAAATGGCAGATCTC